AATAAATAGTTTGGGAAAATTAAATCAGATATAGAGAAAAAGTAATGCTGAAGCTTCTATTCAGAAAAATATTCATATTTCCCAGCTAGAGTCTGATAATCATTTTAATAGTAAGTCCATTTTCAAGACTAGAAGCTGAAAATCACTTTTCTTTTCTTTTTCTATTCTTTGATTTTTTTTCTTCAAAGGCATGAGAATGACTTCATTCCTTAAATTACTTGCTTAATCAAAACAGAGACTTACTACTGTGGAGTAGAGAGTCTGCCAATACTCTGCACGTTCTGATTCGAATCTGCTCTGAAAGAGTGCATCTAAACTGGAAGATATGCCCTTTGCAATCCAAGTTGCCAGCCTTGGAGGGCGTGACATCTTAAGAACAGATGGGTGGAGAACAAAACGGGTACCTAAGTCGCTGACAAAGTCAACTGGCGTCGAATCGAAAATGTGACCCGAAACACAGTTCCTTATGAGCCAACAGTCATCCTACACGACAACCAACTATGAGGCCATTGCACAAAAGAATTTAGAATTCCCTTTTTTGTAGTTATCCCTATTTGTCCGTGTGTGGGGAAAGTTACCAGAACTATCCATGAGGTTCAGGTAAGAAAAAACGTTCCAATATTAAAAAATTAAAATAAAAATTGCTTGCATAGTCGTTCCTGCTTTAAATTCAGGAGGTGACTATGATGGTATTTTATTAATGGCAAATGTATTTTTTTTTTTAAATGAAATGGGGTGCTTTTGTATTAAAACATCTTTAGTTTTTTCTTTTTTATTTCTTCTTTCTAAAATACCCGAAACTAAAGGTGCATGGGCTATTGATATCATGCATATACATGTATATGTTACACATATTCAACAAAAAATGTGCTAACTACCAGAAACTGATAAAGGGAGTGATGAGTACATATTTCATACCACATTTATTTGCTCTCGATTACACTTTCCTTCAATTATCTGCAAGCGAATGGAAGTTGTTACGGCATGCCAGATATTGAAGTATTTTTCTATCGCTGCTAAATTAAAAAAATGAAAACGCGTGTACACGTGTACCTGGACAACCTTGTACATGCAAGCTTTAGGACCCCCAGAAAAAGATGCAAACACAACAGGGCAAGGCCTGAGTTTTAGCTCCTGCATAAAAGAATAAATGAAATCACTTACCTGGCTTTAAAAGATCGACCACACAAAATAAGGATTGAAATTTTGATAATATGATAGAAGAACTAATCATCTGGAATTCTTTCCAAGTTTAAGCCATACAAAAGTGACAATCTCAGGGATCTTCGAAATTATTTTAATACTAAACCAAATTATAATTTTGAACCTATGCTTATTCCTAAAAAACACACGTAAATAAAATAGGTTCAAGGGACTAACTCGAACAAGCTCGTCGACAATTTGTAGCGCCAATGATGCAGCTTTATCCGGAAAGAATCTGTAAACCCAAAATCGACATAAGCGATCACTGTGACTTTTTCAACACATCAATTACACGAATGAAGATGAACAGCAGATATCAAATCCCAAATCTGTCTTCCCCAGGTAAAAAGAAAAATCAAGAATCAAGCTGAAAAAATAATAATAAAAAACGTAGGGGAAAAAATGAGCTCACAGATTGAGAAATTGGGAGTGGCAAACCAGCGAATTCCATCCAAGGGAGGCAAAGAGATCAACATAATTCTTCAAGTGTCTGTCCGCACTAGACATCCACGCAAACGCCACAACAATTCCCCCTATTTTTTCCCTTTCCTTTCTTCCCCAGTAATATCTTCCCCCAAATCCCCACATATTCTTCTTCTCCTTCTTTTCTGTGAATCTTCTACCTTTCCCGAGAATAATAACAAAAAAAATTATTGATTTTTCAGTGGAATTTATGGCACAGGGGTTTAGTTGGTGGGATTCGTTAAAAAAATGACAGTGAAATTGTAAGGGTGACTTGTTTATAAGAGCATCTCCAATGTGGTTTTTGACATTATAAAAATTCATTCATATCATCAACTTTTGAAAATGAGATATTAATTTATTCTCCAATGCATCTTGTTATGAACTCTTTCATGATGAGATGGATAGCATTTAATGTTGACAATGTTGAACACACTTTCTAATATCTAACACCAAGTTAAACATGATGACTAATCAATTCACTTTATATTTGATTTAATTTTTTATTGTTCTTGTATTAATGATTATTTTAATTGGTCCACCTATACAAATAATTATTTATCAAATTGATGCATTGGAGATGCTAGTTTGATTCAAATTTCTACTCTTTTAACATTATTCATACATGGATTAACATTACAATTATTGATTGACATGTGTTAAAAATTATTCTCTTTCAAAGCTATAACATTGGAGATGCTCTAAAATAATTCAAAACATACTCAATTCATACACAAAATATAAGTCAATTCTAACTCAATTTATTTATTTTCAATTTTATTAATAAAATTAAATAATAACAATCAATCTATCTATATATATAAAAACGTTTGATTATTTTTTAAATAGTAATTACTTCCCTCCAACAAAATCTATTTACTATTTTGATAAATTAATTTTTATGGTATATATCAAATGATTACTTATAGAAATTGCGGCTCATTATTTAAGGAAGTAATTAAGTCAGATACCTTAATTACTCAAATCATGTGAATTAATTAATATATGGTATAAAGTGGATGAAATTATTTTTGGTATTGATGGTTATTTCTATAGGAAATAAATTAATCAATATATAGTATAAAGTGAGTAAATTTTTTAGGTTATTTTATGACAGTTTTTTGGAAGAAAATTTGTTGAAAACTTAATCAATATACAGTGTACCTTTTTTCTGTAATGCGCAGACTAATAGGTTTTTAGGCATAAGTTTCTGTTTTTCGTATGAAATTAACATAATAAAATTACTGTAACTCCGACAAACTATTATGAACTAATATTTTGATATAATATGCGTGTATCGATTTATTTTTTATAGAAAAAGCCCTGGTCATTTTTGTTTTTTTTTTTGTATAATTAGCGGGTCTCAATTTACTTCATTTTCTGTTACGACATTTCAAATAATTTTTGTATGAAATGCACTCTTCATTTTTTTAGCATGATAAAGAGTGTAGATTTTTTTGCGACTGATTATTTTTACTCAACTACTAATATTTCGATGTGGATATTTTATACAAAAATAAATTCATTATTAATGAAACAATATAAGTTTTATATTTATATTTATTATTCACATAGGTTTTTAAATATATGATAAAACTTTACCAAAATAATTATTTTATGGAATCACGTAATAGTCAAATTGAATTTTTTAATAAAAATTTTAAAATCACACATATTTTAAAATGAATATAATGTAATCAGTTATGTGCAACACGCGAGTTGTGTACTAATTTTAAATAGACATTTTTATGTGATTTTGCAAAATTTAAATTTCATATAATATTTTCAATAAATTAATATAGGAACATTGTATTAAATATTGATTCCGTGCTTTTAATTTATAAATATTAATCAGTGAGAATTTTTAATTTATAAATATTAATGAATATCTCTTATCCGTGCATCACACGAGATTCGTACTAGTTATTCTTATATATCTTATCAACTTTAGTTCTCTATTTATCAATTCACATAATTATAATTAATTATCATTTATCTTTCATACTTTCACATCAAATCAAATTAATTTAAATTATTAATAATATAAATTCAAAATCTAACTAACAACTAATATGGAAATGATCCCCTACTCACGGTAGGTACATGTTAATATGCTCACTGTTTATGTGGCATGCACACATTGGTGATGTTAATATGCTAAAAAAATTATATCACTAATGTGTGCATGCCACATAAGCGATGGGTATATTAACATATTCACCGTGGGTAGGGAAGCATTTCCCACAACTAATAATATCACATATTTAAAATTAACTTTAATTATTAAAAAAAAATTATTCTAAGCGGATATTATTTATATCAAACACGTTCTAATAGTTTATAATTTTAGTGAATAATAAACCCCCTCAAAATTCTAGGTATGTTAGATAAGGATAAAACATAACTTAGCAAATTTCTCTACGGCACACTACAGCAGCAACTACTACTTATGGTAGGCTCTCTTTTAAGCTAATCTGCTGTTATTGAATTTCCCCTTAAATGTTTGTTTACTTGCTTGTACGCTGAGTATGTTTTTTTT